GGTGTCGGTGCTTTCTCCGCTCTCCCGGCCTTAGGTCCCCGCTCCCGCAAACCAAAGAAGAAGAACCCCAACAAGGAGGACAAGCGGCCCCGCACCGCCTTCACCGCCGAGCAGCTCCAGAGACTCAAAGCCGAATTCCAGACGAACCGGTACCTGACGGAGCAGCGGCGGCAGAGCCTGGCCCAGGAGCTGGGCCTGAACGAATCCCAGATTAAAATCTGGTTCCAAAACAAACGAGCTAAAATCAAGAAGGCGACGGGAAGCAAGAACTCCCTGGCAGTGCACCTCATGGCCCAGGGGCTCTACAACCACTCCACCACGGCGAAAGACGGCAAGTCGGACAGTGAATAGCCAAGGGGGAATTAAAAATACTAACAACTTCCATATAGAAGCTAAACAGAAAAAGAAAAAGAAAAGGAAAAAGAAAAAGAAAAAGAAAAAGAAAAAGAAAAAGAAAAAGAAAAAGAAAAAGAAAAAGAAAAAGAAGAAAAAGAAAAAGAAAGAAAAAGAATTAAAAACAACTTTTGCTGAAGTCCAAAGATTTTTATTGCTGCATTTCACACGACTGTGAACCGAATAAATAGTTCTCCTATTTGTTCTATGAGTTTTACTTTTTTTTCCCTCCCCACCCCTCCCATTTTTCATTTCTTTTTTTTTTTATTTATTTCTTGCTATTTTATTCCTTTATTTTTTTCTTTCTTTCTTTCTTTCTTTCTTTTCTTTTTTAGAAGCATTACAACAGGTACTTGCCTTAAATGTCGTTTATTGTTTCCCAAATTTCTCTTGTTCTAACTAGGATTATAAAAGATACTTTAAAGGCAAGTTTGAAGAAATAGATTTTCCAGACTGAGTGCTGAGAAACCCAGAAAGACTGTCTAACAATATGCAACCTATGAGTGCCTTTTGTCAGCAATAGGGGATTTTGGGCTGCAGAATGACATTGTTTCATCCCTTGAGTTTTTTTTGTTTTTTTTTTTTTTTTTTTTTTTTTTTTTTTTTTGGAGGGGGGGTGTGCGTGTCTGGGGCTGCCTTTGGGAAGAATTTAATTTAAAAAGGGGAAAAAAAAAAAAAGTATATATATAAGTAACCGTAGGGAAAGAAATCTTAAAGCACCGTCTCGAAACATGCCCGGGGTCTTTTTCCTGACTGTTCCCCCCCCCTCCCCCGCCCCCTACTCGCTCATCAACCCCACGGAAACCCACGGGCGTGCGTGGATGCGGGATGCAGGCGTGGATGAGGGATGCAGGGGAGGGGTTAGCATCCCCCCTCCTTCTCCAACTTGTTGGGCAAACTTTGGGACCCCCATCTCCGAAAAACGG